TAGTTGTAGGTAAATAATTATACGATTAACATCTAGTTTGTTGTTGTTGTTGCTGCTTTATTTGTGTTATATGAAAAAAAAAAAAAAAAAAAAGAAACAGACATGGATTAAAACCCTACAGTTAACATGTTACAGTAATTGGTTTGAGGCGCAGTTAGCAAAACATCAAACTGAACGCATTTTGGAGGTAATCTGAAGCGCGGTTATTTTGAATAGTGAAGTGGATACGGCATGTACTGCCATAATGCTTGTTGATTAGCTGATTAAATTAAAAAGTACACTGTTTGTGTAAATTACTGTATATTCCTTTTTTTTTAAAATGACGTACTTCAATTATTAGTTCGACAAAGATTAAAGAAATTCACCTCTATAAAAAAACAGCAGCACCTTTGCAATTGTAATTTATGAAATTGTAAGGGCATGGGAAATCTAAGACCACATGCACACATTGTTATTGATCTGTGCAGTTTTCAAGATTTTTGTTTGAGGGTATGACTTTTGGAACGGACTATATTCGTCCATTGGATGTGGAGCCTGGAGTTAACCAAGTGCGCCGTGTTCTGTCCCAAGTTTTTGTCCTTCTGTGTTCGTAGACCACCACCACACGATCAACAAATCTGCCCACTATTGTCCTGGCCTTGTTTGCTCCAAACACTGGCACACATAACTTCAGTGCTTGTCGTCGTTGTGCCTGCATGTGTCTGCCTGCTGCTGTTGTCTGCCTGCTGCTGTTGTCTGCCTGCTGCTGTTGTCTACCTGCTGCTGTTGTCTGCCTGCTGCTGTTGTCTGCCTGCTGCTGTTGTCTGCCTGCTGCTGTTGTCTGCCTGCTGCTGTTGTTTGCCTGCTGCTGTTGTCTGCCAGCTGCTGTTGTCTGCCTGCTGCTGTTGTCTGCCTGCTGCTGTTGTGTCATCAAATATTTGTCTGTTTGTAGATGTCCACTTCTGGAAACCAGGAGCCGCTGTGATGTAGCGGCTAAACGCTCGCTTGGGGAACCGAAGATCATGGGTACAGATTCTGACGGAGTCGAACTTTGTTGTCTTCAGAAATGACCTTGGCTTCCAGTTGACCCAGCTTTAAATGGGCTCAAGGGAGAGTAAAGGGGGCCGGCGTGATGTTGACCACATCACCTACAAAGTGCTGATCGACCGATAAAATATAAGTCTAGCCCTATATGCCCAATACGCATAAAGGCGTGGAAAAGAGTCCTTTACTTATTTTTTTAAACCTTTAAAAACCGTCGACTGCTTCATGATATCATCATCATCATCACGTGTCCTTGCGACGAGCATAGGCGGCCATGTTTCCTCATGACAATCACAGTTTGGGCCATGTCAGTGCACCCTGTCCACCTGACCGAACCATCCAGGTATTTATCTCTCTGTCTTCCTCTTGCTCTCTTTCCATTAATCTGGCCAGTGGTCACCAAGCTCTCGATTCAATTTCTTCTGGGTTTAAAAAAAAAAAAAATTAAATCCAGAAACCACGATTTGTTAACTCTTGTCTTGATACTATGGACATCGCAACCCTTCGGGCCTTGATTCCATGGTAGGTGCCGTAAATCTGGGAAATGAGACTTTTCTGCCTGCCCCCGAGCGTGAACTCGGACCATTAGGAGTTTATCACCAGGTCGCCGCGGACATGGTTTAACCAACTTAGCTAGAGCGCCCAGCATTCCTTCTCTTAACATGTCTTCTCTCTGTCCATAATTACACATTCCTAACTCTGTTTCTACATAAAGACGTTGATTATTCTCTCCTTCCATAATGACACATTCCTGTTTCTCTTTCTTACATGAAGACGTTGATTATTCTCTCCTTCCATAATTACACATTCCTGTTTCTCTTTCCTACGTGAAGACGTTGATTATTCTCTCCTTCCATAACTACACATTCCTGTTTCTCTTTCGTACATAAAGACGTTGATTATTCTCTCCTTCCATAATTACACATTCCTGTTTCTCTTTCTTATGTGAAGACGTTGATTATTCTCTCCTTCCATAATTACACATTCCTGGTTCTCTTTCCTACATGCAAAACATGGATTTTTCCTTCTACACAGATAGCGTAAATTATTTTGTGGGACATGAAGATCCTTCAATCCTCACATGAAGACACATTTCTTGCCTCTCCTACATAAAATCATACTTAATATTGCCTCCTTCTATAAACCCACACAATTCCTCTTCTGTTTCCTTCACAACGAATATTTATTATGTCTTCCTTTCCTTGACATGTTCTTTCTGTTGTCCCCTTCATGAAGGATATCACCAATCTCTCGCGGGAAGTAGAGGCGACCGGCAAGCAGACGTTGTGATAATTATGACTGTTATGAGATGATTGCATATATTCAAGAAGAGGCCACACACTCTCTCTCTCTCTCTCTCTCTCTCTCTCTCTCTCTCTCTCTCTCTCTCTCTCTAACACACGCACAAACACACACACGCGCATGCACACGCAACCCCCCCCCCCTCCACACACGCACAGACACACACACACACACACGGAGACGGGAGCTAGAGAAACAAGACGTGGAAGGACTTGTTAAGCCGCTTGCGATAGCGACAGTTATGAGAGCCTTTAGACTTATGCTCCACTGGGGTGGGGGAGGGGGGAAAGATAAAGTACTCTTTTACCGCCCCACTAAGTGTATTGCGGAACATAATACTAGACGTATATTATATAGACTAATCGACTTTTGCTCGACGGTGTGGCCATAACCAATAACCATCACACCTGCCGCCTTTACTTCCCAGGACTATCTGCTACCCAGTTAGGACTGGGTCGACCTAGCAGCCAAGGTCATTTTTGCAAACAGTCCGGCTTGATGCGGATTTGAACCTGGCAGCCCTCGAGCCCGTGGCGAGCTTCTAGCTGCTACACCACGGCGGCTGCGGGGGGGAGGGTTGGGATAAAGGGTAACGGCAGCAAAAAGAAAGCGGCCGCGTCCAGTAGAGGCTGTCAGTGAGGGTGTGTGAGTTGTCCTCTGGGTAAGTTCTGTGGGAGAGGAGGGGAGGCTGTAGTCAGTTGTAGGATTGTGGTCGTCTGTCCGACAATTTTGGGGTCCGAGTATTGATCACGTGATGTGGCTAGAGTTGTGCCAGACTACGTTACATGCCCCAGCAGTCACCGCTGGAATAATAATGGTTGCAGTTTTGTCTGTCTGCCTCTGTTCTAGCCTTCTGCCTGGAGTGTGTCTGTGTGCTAGTCTCTTATTGTCTGCTGTCTGTCTGTGTGCAAGCGTATCAAATATTGTCTGCAGTATGTCTGTCTGTATGCAAGCGTATCAGTCTGTCTTTATCCGGAGTATGTTAATATATTAGTTTGTTATTTTCTTATGTATGTCTTTCTATGATCTAATATGTCAGTATGTTATTGTTACTGCGAAATTGATTTCAAAGGCTACAGTATTTATTTCAAATTTATTTCAAAGGCTACACGATTGATTTCAAAGGCTAGAAGATTGATTTAAAAGGCGTCAAGATTTATGATTTCAAAGGCTACACGATTGATTTAAAAGGCGTCAAGATTTATGATTCCAAAGGCTACACGATTGATTTAAAAGGCGTCAAGATTTATGATTTCAAAGGCTACACGATTGATTTAAAAGGCGTCAAGATTTATTATTTCAAAGGCTACAAGATTGATTTCAAAGGCTACACGATCGATTTCAAAGGCTACACGGTTGATTTAAAAAAAAAAAGATTCTCCACACACACACATATGTTATGGTTCTTGCATACTTGTTTACAATCTACACAAACGCTCTGTGAAACCCCATCACTCACTGTTGCCTACAGATATAAATAGAAGTGGAGATCCCCTTGCCTTATGGGGTCCGGGATCCGTTTGGGAGGAAGACGAGGGGGCGGACGCACTAACGCTCTCACAAACGTGTCGTAAAGGGCCGACTAATTAGGGATGCTTTCTTCAAATTCGGAGTGCATCTGCCTGAGAGGCGAGAAACCAACAGTCTGCTTACAAGTAAGCCAGATCTGTAAAACTGACCTACACGCATGACCAAAGTCTTGAAGTGGACGAGTAACCAAAATGTAGCGCCGAAGTTTTGCAGCCGGTGAACGCAAAGAAGAAGAAGAAGCGGAGAGACGGGACAGAGAACGTCAGTGTGTCAGATCACCGATCGCATCTGGCGAGCACAAAACCGTTGCCTGTCCCGTGCTCACACTCCGATGGCTATCATTGTTGATACTCCCAGCGTAAGATCGACCCCTCCCACCTCCCCAAAATCCCCACTGTTTGTGCTTCTTGTCTCCAGATCTAGCTGTAAAGCCACTGCCTGTTGCATGTTTGAGTGAGCTAGGTCATGGCATTGCAGCTCACGTGGCCTTTTTCTTCAGATCTGTAGTGCCGTTCTTAGTTGGTAGAAATTAATTTTTAAAAATAAAACAAGTGCAATGTTTTTCTGCAATATTCATGAGATCGTCACTGGAGTTACATGGTTCGTGCTTTGTGCGACTTTTCTCAGTGCCGAAAGAGGCCGAGCCCTATGGAAAGAAGCCTAATTTGAATTGAAGTTGACAAGTGTAAACCGTTTTTCTGTTGTTTTTTTTAATTTGGATGTTTTTCTGAATGTTGAAATGTGTTCTGTGTAGTAGGTAAGACTTGTCTTTTCTCCAACATTTGTTGGTTCTGTTGGTTGGTTGATTAGTCAGCTGGTTGGTAATTTTTTTTATTAGTTGGTCGGTTCTCTAGATAGGTTGATTGGTCATTTGCTTGGTCATTTGGCTAGTTGATCCATTGGTTGGTTGCTCTGTGGATTGACTAGTTAGTTAGTTGCTTGATCAGTTGATCATTAGGTCACTGTCTATGTGTTGTACATTTTGCTTGGTTGGTAAATTAGTTGGTTGTTGGTCAATTGGTTGGCTGGATGGTTGGTTGGTCAGATGGTTGATTGTTCACTTGGACGCTGTCTGTTGTCTGGTTAGTGTCAGGTGGTTCAGATTATCACATACGGCATGAACATTCACTGTTTATGTGTTCCAGGTTTGTCGCACACCGAGTTTGAAGAGATTCAGCGATCAGCCAAGGAACGTGCAGACATCGTTGCCAAGTATGACCTGGTGAGTTTCCATCCTTCTTTGTTAGATCGATATTTCATTGATTCTCCTTCCTTCCTTCCTTCCTTCCTTCCTTCCTTCCTTCCTTCCTTCCTTCCTCCCTCCCTCCCTTCCTTCCTTCCTTCCTTCCTTCCTTCCTTCCTTCCTTCCTTCCTTCCTTCCTTCCTTCCTTCCTTCCTTCCTTCCTTCCTTCCTTCCTTCCTTCCTTCCTTCCTTCCTTCCTTCCTTCCTTCCTTCCTTCCTTCCTTCCTTCCTTCCTTCCTTCCTTCCTTCCTTCCTTCCTTCCTTCCTCCCTCTCTCCCTCCTTCCTTCCTCCCTCCCTCCCTCCCTCCTTCCTTCCCTCCCTCTCTCCTTCCTTCCCTCCCTCCTTCCCTCCTTACCTCCCTCCCTCCTTCCCTCCCTCCCTCCCCAACATAGACCCTCAGTCAGTTCACGCTGTTATTGTTATCGTATCCTTTGCTATGGCATGCAGCTCACCTGAAGGCCCTTCCCAGTCTTTAAACTTCTGTCTTTAATTATCCTCTTGACATTTATTTTGGGTCTGCCATTACTTCTTTGACCCTGTAGTTTCCAGTGCAAGGACAGTCTGTTATATTGTTGTGAAGTTTTCCCCCCCCTTCAGTGTATGTCCTATCTAGTGGCATCATTTTTCCCCCCTCACCTCTTGATTCTATACTGGAGAAAAGACCTAAAGTATGCTTACTACCCGTAACCTTATAAGTGAAGCTTGCCACTCTGCTTGAATCAACCCTGTCTTCACCTTTCTCAGCGTGCTTTCAGTCTGTTAATACCAGTGATTTTATATAGGGCTGTTGACCACTGCGAACAATGCATCTTATTATCTAAATCCCATAAAAGTTTAAAAACCAGCTTTCTTGGGTCAACAGGGTTAAAAATTCAGGACCTGGTTTAAAAAAAAAAAAAACCTGAAAACAAAACTCCCAGAAAAGACCCATTACCTGCAAGCAGAAGAAGAAATTCATCTGACTGGAAACAAGAGCCTAGTTGACATGGCCACACCTGACCTGACACGTGGCATTCCTCACTTGGGCTGTCATGTAATCCTAGGATGTAGATATGTCTGCATCAAGACTGGCAGGGTTTTCTACTTCAACCCGTTTGCTATGAAGCTGAAACTAAGATTACCAGACTACCAGACTTCAACTTTATGTGCATTCTTTGGTCTCTTTTTTTTGGTCAACATAGGGTCGAGAGGAGGGGGCCCAGATCGACCCCTGGGAGGATCCAGCGTTTGAGGTGTACCATGTCACTGACAGATATGGATTTATTCAGTAAGTTGAGTCAGGTTTTTTTGTTGTTTTTTTGCTGGAAACTTCCCATTGTGGTTTCCGGAGGCTACACTTTGGGGAAAGGGGGGATAGATCCACTGTCCCTTAAAAACTATGTCATAGAAGGCTACTAATTAAAGATGTATCCTTTGAGATCGGAATACATGTGCCTGAGAGGCGAGGAACCAGCAGTCTGCACACAAATAAACTTGATCTGTAAGATGGATGTGCAAGCATATTTCAAGTTCTGGAAGAACTTGACAAAGTTGACAAACAATCAGAACTTTCCGCAACATTTGACAACTGATAAACACATAGAAGCTGGCGGGGAGGGGGGACGGTAGGAGTGACGAGGAGGTTCTTTAGAACTAAGTTTGATGTGTATTTATAAATTGGAGTTTTTTTTTATATGAATGGCAATTTTAAGGTACCGCGGACAAAACCCACTGTTGGTTGCGTGGATTTTTATCATGGTATGAGGCGTCGCAGGTTGACCCAGCCTAAAATGAGTACCAGGATGGCTGTCCTGGGGAAGTAGAGACGGCCGGTGTAATGCTGACCACACACATTACCCACCTAGTGCCGATGGTCTGAAAAAATATGGCGCTCTACCTATATACTCGATGCGCCTTTAGGCGAAACTATGGATCTTTCCTTTACTTTACTATTAAGGATGGGAGTTGGTTTTTATGGGAATGAGTTTCCCTGCTTTAGAACTAATTGTGATGTTTATTAAGGATGAGAGGTGGTTTTTATAGGAATGAGTTTCCCTGCTTTAGAACTAATTGTAATGTTTATTAAGGATGGGAAGTGGTTTTTATAGGAATGAGTTTCCCTGCTTTAGAACTAATTGTGATGTGTATTAAGGATGGGAAGTGGTTTTTATAGGAATGAGTTTCCCTGCTTTAGAACTAATTGTAATGTTTATTAAGGATGGGAGGTGGTTTTTATAGGAATGAGTTTCCCTGCTTTAGAACTAATTGTGATGTGTATTAAGGATGGGAAGTGGTTTTTATGGGAACGAGTTTCCCTGCTTTAGAACTAATTGTGATGTGTATTAAAGATGGGAGGTGGTTTTTATGTCATAATTTATAATATAATATGTGAGTTTACCCGTGTGGGATATATTAAATTTGACCCCTGTGTGGGTTCCAGGGCCCTGTTTATGTGGAAGAAAATCACCGAACCCGTAACAAGCATGCCTTAAAAGGCGACTGTTTAGGGCTTTTCCCTTGAAAGTGGGAGTGCATCAGATTGAGGGGCAAGGAACCAACAGTCTGCACTCAGGAACGCCAGATCTGTTTAAAAGCAGTAAATAATGTGACCCTAATGAGTTCATTATAGACAGTGTGAGACACAAGAAGTTAAATCTAACCAATATGGATTATTCTGACAATCTACTATGACAAAAGCTGACTGGTAAATTATTTGATTTTGAGGACTGTGTTTGCAGACTACAAATGACCTGCAAGCATCTCCCTTGTACAGCCCATTAAGAAGGGGATACTGGTCCATTGATTCACCACTACACTCAGAGATGTGTGGAACCAAAAGGGAACTGCTAAAAAAAGTCAACCCCATCACAAGAACTTGTCTGTCAGTGTAAATCTGAAAGCGAACACAAGAAGAAAACGAAAATAATCTTTAAAATCATTTTTAAAAAAAAATTTAAAAATCGCATAATGAGCTGTTTGTGGACAGAAAGAGTAAATGCAAGGTTGTCTTGCTAGTTACACTTGTCCTGGTCATGGACTGTGGTTCCCATGTCTTCCTGTAGCCTTATGCACTGCCATTCGACAAAGTTTACTCAGGCACCAACATCTTCAAAAACTGGGATCATCATGGGCCAGAGGCCCTTGCCCCAGCCTAGAAAAATCATTCTTTTTGTGTGTTCCTGAAGTAGTTGTCTGTATTAACAATTTTGTTTCTCATATAAATTTCACTGTAGAAAGATCATCAGTACAATACAGTTGGCAGGTGATCCATAGGTCACTTGCTAAGCTTTTGCGGGGCAGTTTAAGCCCGGGTGCCGCCAGTTTAAAAGCTTTGGCGTAATGTAACACTGTGCTTAGAGTTGGAAAAAAAGTGCCAGGCCTAACCCATGTAGTAGTTCTAGAATGTTGTATTTACAACACTAGTTGTTGGATTATGGATGGATACTTTACTGGAACAGTGCCTATAATTGAATTCATTGAAAAACAAAGACTCTATGTAAAGAATAGTTCCGATCTAGCTTGGGCTTTTACGAGACATGCCTGGCCAAACTAGAAGTGAACAGATACAGGAACAAATTTGAGGAAACAGGGAAAAAACAGTGAGTTTGAACTGGAAGAAGTATGACCCACAAGGAAACTTCAGGAAGATAAGGATAAGAGGAACTCATAGGAACACAGAGATAAAGGAACGGTCTAGCTATTAGGATAGGAACATTAAGCCAAGGGGCTGGCACACAGCTCTGAGGGTTAGATGATGGATATGCCCAGCTCTGAAACATTAAGCCAAGGGGCTGGCAGCTCTCTGAAGATGTTGGAAACATTAATGGATACAGCTCTCTCTTAGTGATATCTGTAACGATCATCTCTGAGTGATATATGTAATATGGGTGCTGTAGGTATATGAGGATTTGAACTAGGGCTGGCCGTTGTCTCACAGGTTTGTATTTCTCTCCTAACAGTGACACAGCTCTACCTACACATATGGATGCTGCTGAGGAGAAGGTTAGACTTTGCTGTTTTATATATAAACACACATACATACAGAATGTAGTATGTGTAAATATTATTGTCACACATACACACATCATTCTATAGCAGTTATACCTCACATAAGGCTCACAGGCTAGTCTTCAGTTTCATTCTTCTTCTTCTTTTCTCTATTCCTGAAATGCCTTGCGGTGTGAGGGCATCTCTAGAACGGGCCCTTATGTTCGCTTCGTATACAGTACTTTTCAGTGTCTCTGGTATTTCTGTGGTCCATCTTCAGCATGGTTGACCTTTGGACTCTTACTGTCGTATCTGTATAACATTGCTCTCTGGGCCCCTGTCTGATGCTAATCTTGTTACGTGGCCAAACCATTTGATTTGATGTCTACTTATAAAGTTCAGTATTGGTTCTGTGTCTGCCAACTCTGCTTCTGATATCATCATTCCTAAGTCGATCTTTCCTGGTTACACCTAGCATAGCACGTAAACATTTCAGTTCTGTCATGACTATTTTCCTTCTGTCTTCTGAAGACAGTGTCCATGTTTGACATTGACAGCATAGCATTGATATGAATATTGTATTGAACAGTGTTCTTTTAGCGTTCATATTCTTATGCAAATCTTTTGATACCATGGATGGATTCCAGTCTCCAGTCCAGCACCTTTGGCCTCTCTTGTTCATCCACTTCTGGACTCTTGTCTTGCTCCAGAACTTGAGTTTTGCATGCACATCCGTTTTTAAAACAAACAGGTCCCTAGAACACGCATAAGGAGGCCTCTATTAACAAGGAGGCCTCTATTAACAAGGAGGCCTCTATTAACAAGGAGGCCTCTATTAACAAGGAGGCCTCTATTAACAAGGAGGCCTCTATTAACAAGGAGGCCTCTATTAACAAGGAGGCCTCTATTAACAAGGAGGCCTCTTGTCTATTAACAGTATTTGTTTGAGGATTTCACTAAATTGTCCTTGTTTATTAAATCCATTTGTTTCCCATCTGAGTGCTTGTTTAGTAATTCTCTGTCTGCTTTTCTTAAGACATGTCCAGAACAAGATCATCTTTGACTTATAACTGTTCATACGAGCACTTGTGCAGACATTTCTCTGATTTATTTACTTTTCTTAATTCATCAACATTTAATCACACACTCAAATGTGCGTTATTAATGATTGAGTATTTATGTTTTTATGAAGAAAGGTGGGAAGAAAGACAGAAGCAAAGGATTAGTAATGTGTGAGACAGAATGTCAGTAGTTGGTATAAACAGTGTTTCTGTAGTTGTGAGAATGTCAGTAGTTGGTATAAACAGTGTTTCTGTAGTTGTGAGAATGTCAGTAGTTGGTAAAAACAGTGTTTCTGTAGTTGTAAGAATGTCAGTAGTTGGTATAAACAGTAGTTCTCTAATTGTGAGAATCTGTATGAGAAAGTTGATCTCTAATGTTGTCACTGTATAGAGCAAGCAAGTGGAAAAGGAAAGAACAATGAAATGGCTGAAGATGATCAAATCCTGGGACAAGTATTACCCCGGAGAGAAGGTATGTGCAAAGTCTATGTGGTATGTATCTTATGACATGGTAAGGTGGAATCTTCATACGTTCCACAACTGACTCTAGTGTTTTATTCTCATCATACATACTGCAGCTGACCCCATTTTTTTTTTTTTTTTAAACTCTCATCACATACACCACAGCTCCAAGTCACAGTTTTAGGCCTAATCATTAGACACTGCAGAATCAACAAACACTCATATTATTCTTCTTTCATTCACTTGAAATAAATTATCTATATCTGCAACATTGTCTCTAGTATGAACTTCACTGTCTTTTGTAATTCACTCAGAAACCTGTAAAGTTTGGCTTGCATCTGTATTTCTCTTGGCCAGAAGTTTTGCCTTGATATGTTTGGGACAGTTTTTGAGGATGTATTTTGTTGTCTCAGGTACCAGTTCACATTTCCACATGGCTGATTCGCATATCTTGAATTTAAACACTGACATAAATTAGGTATGAGCCAAACAACTCTTGCCAGTGTCTTCGTGCTGAACAGACTCCAGTTGCATGTCCTGCAAGACTGTCCTCTTCTGAAGGAGCTGGAAAGCAACATGTGGCCACACCCAGTAGACCTGACAACTAAGCTATGGCAAGTTGAGTTGATTCAAGAACCGACATCACAGCAATCAGGGCTTCCCAAAAACACTCCGTCCTGATCTTCAGCAGCCAGCATAGACTTCCTGTACGGGTGGTGCCAGTAACATTCTGATTATATGTCCGTCTTGCCTTTCCTCTGAGTGTTAAGGGGACTGCGTGGTCTCGAGGCATGGTGGCCGCCTCGAGTGCTAAAGATCCCGAGTTCAGGCCCCCGTGAAAGCTGGGATTTTTTCACATGGACTTCTAGTAATTACCCCAGGTTTCTGGGTAGTAAGACCCGACGCCCGCATTTATTGTTGCGTACATTAAAAAAATCCCTTAGCAGTTGAAAATCGAAAAGAGTAGCCTAAAGGCGCTGCCCGGGCCAAATTTGGAGTTTAAAATCTACCCAAAGTAGTTCAGGATCCTCGCCAGTGCAACAGAGTTCGTGCACTGCTCTGAGATTCTTCAGACTGCGGTTCGAGTTAGAAGAAGAACGGAGCACTTACATTTCCTACCACACTGGCATACCCTGGAGAGCTTTGGGGAAACCTAAGAGAGCTTGAGATGACATCCCAGTTTATGGCCCACAGTGTGGATTAAGTGCATAACCAGAGATCACTGAAGAAGAATATACCACAGATAACCTCATTCCACTTAAAGTAAGCAAGTTAAGGACCCTTTTCACTCCCTTGGAACATCAGGCATATAATGCTAGGCCTATGTCTCTGTAGACCGATCAGCACCGGATGGGTGATGTTCTTGTCCCGCCGCATTTCATAAGTCACCAGTATGTTACTTTCATCTCTCTGTGTGACTTTCTATGTGACTTTCATCTCTCTCTATATATATATATATATATATTTTTCTCTCTCTCTCTATTTCTCTTTCTATTTCAAACCCCCCTCCCCCCTTCCCGTCACACACACACACACAAATATTAATACAGTTCTCTCTGTCTGTAGCTGACACGGCGAGTCTACAAAGGTATTCCTGACTGTCTGAGGGGTGAAGTTTGGTCCAAGTTGCTGAGTATACCCAAAGTTAAAGCAGAACAGGAGGGAGTATACCAGGTGAGTGGTCCACAACCATTCCTGACACTGTCTATAGTTGATTTGTTTTCCAGTCTATTGTTTCTATTTTCACTAGATGCTTTGTATTTTATTGAATGAATTGTAGAAAGTAGCATATTGAATTCTTCTTCTTCTTCCTTGCGGTCACGGTTGTAAACTTCCGCAGAAAGTTCTGTTTGTTCATCCACCTCTAAACATTAGTTCTAGAACCTGAGCGTTGCATGCACATCAGTTTCACAGTCTGACTTACACATGTGCTGATTGTTGGTTTCTTGCCTCTAAGGCAGATGCACACCTCTGGCTTTGAAGGAAGCCCCCAATAAATTGACTCTTACTACATGCTTGTTGTGTAGGTAGTGGGTCTGTTCTTGTTTTCCCCACAATGGGGCCCTGGAACCCACACGAGGAACTATTTAATGATTGCTTGAAAGTGTCTATCAAGTTGAATTAATGATTTCACCTGTGAGTTCCTGGGCCTGTCTTGTCTGTAATGACCTGTTTATGAGACATATAGTTTACGCTACTGGCTGTTTTTGCTTCTGCTCAAGCATTTAGGAGATCACTTTGTGAATACATTAACTAACAATAATTTTAATGACGGTTTTTCCTTTAAGCTTCTTAGCCTTTTTCAAAGCCAAATTGACCTCAGTTTCCCATAAGCCTCAATGCTGTAGGTCACAGCATGAGTCATCTGATACATTTATGTTTTTATTTTGAACACCTTGGTTGATGTGATTAGTGATTAATGATAAGTAAGGATTATCAACACAGCACTCCAGACAGATCCATAGGTGCCCAGATTTCCTCCTGAAAAGCTCCACGAGTGTAAAATGACTGATGATGCCTGTTCTGAGTTGGTTAATGAAACATCTTGTCCCCTTAGTGAAATATGTTCAGCTGATGTATTCCATTCTATGCTTTATTCACCCTGTTCATGTTTGTTAATTACTGTTTTCATATATTTTTGTATGTTAAAAATAAAAATCCAAAATGTAAAAATATTTTGTATGAATTTATTAGTAATCTGTATTTTTTGTTTTTTAATTGGGGGGGGGGGGGGGGGGGGGGGCACATTTTTTTCTAGAATTCTAACAGGGTCATGACCTATTATTTTAGAGTTCCTGGTACGAAAAGGTTAGGTGATGGGTTTGGTTAATTTTTTTTCAGGATCCAGCAAGGTGTCTTCCTTGGTCTTCCTCTCGTCCTTCTTCACCCACATGTTCTTCTGAAGAAATCCTCAGACAAAGTCTGGTTGCATTTTGTTTCTTCTTTATTATTAATTACACCACTGCCAACTTGCTAGGCCTGTCGCATGATAGGACCTTGTTGGTGTCTGTCTCCTCCCAGGTGAGCCAGCACCTGGTTAGCCTGAAACCTGGCAGTGCCATTTTGTCTATCATGCACCACAAATATTACATTGTCATCACTGCTGAATCTGTCAAGTCTCCCGATGCAAGAGGTTTAAACTTGTGTGCTGTTTTTTTCTTTGGCAGAAAATGCGCAACAGGGCCCGTACAAAGTCTACATCCATACGCCAGATAGACCTGGACGTCAACCGAACATACAGAAACCACATCATGTTCCGGGAGCGATATGGTGTCAAGTAGGTTCTAGAAATTCATTATCGTTGTCATGATCATGTGCCCTGCTGACTAGTGTAGGTGTTCATGCATCTCCCAACATCTTGGGCTCTTGTCCTCTTAATTAGTTATACCAGTGTTTTTTCTCCATGACGCCACAGGAATCCATCCGTCATCATCTCTCTCAGTCTGCGTCTCCCTGTTCTACCATTGATCTTCCTAGTCATGTCACAATATTCTCCAAAGCAATCCGCCTCATCACATGACCAAAATATCAGATTTCTTCTCAAAGCACTTGCTCGGTGCCCCGAACAATTCTAGGGTGCTCAGTCTTCCATTGTAAATGTTAAAGGCTATGAATACTAATCACATCTGTAGCACATTGGTTGTCTACACTACACTCCTTTTTTTATCTACAATCTATGTTTTTTTTTTAAAGGGCATATGATAGTAGACTCATATTGTTTTATCGACTAATCAGCACTAGATGGATGTCGGCATCACTATTGCACTTAGTTAGTCTTTCCTCTTGTGTTGAGTGCGGCACATAGGGCAGAGCTCATGACTCTCCATGCATGGCGGTTCGTTGCAATCTGTTGTAGGTCTTGGATGTTTGAGTGGCCCATGAGCGAGCCTTCCCTGATGATAGTTCTACGTAGGGTTTCCCTTGGTCTTCCACAAGATCTTTTTCCCTGTGGTGTCCAAATGAGGGCTTGGTAAGGAAGTCTTGATTTATCCATTCTAAGGGCTATTGCACTGGCCACCTTTACTTCCCAGGACATTAGCTGGTATTCATTTTAGGCTGGGTAGACCTGTAAGCCTAGATCAGTTTTGAAAAAGAAATGTAGGTTTGAACGTAAAAGGAACCTTTACAAAGCTGTAAATGACTGTGTGTTTTAGTTTGGGATCAAATCAAGCCACAGAGGAGATGAGGTGTTGGTATGTCAGTGGTTAAATCAAAAGCTCTGCCGTTCATCTTTGCTTCAGTGTGACATTTAGTTTATGTGTATTTGTGTGTGTGATTGTGAAATGTGATGTTCATCTTTGTGAATGAATTGTGTGAGGATGTGTCTTCAAGTGTGATTGTTTGATTATGGGTGTATTTTGTGTGTGTGGGTTGTGTGATGATGGATATGATTGTGTAAGTGATTGTGTGATGATGCTCATCTTTGTGAATGAATTGTGTGATGGTGTGTATCTCCAAGTGTGATTGTTTGATTATGGGTGTATTTTTGTGTGTGGGTTGTGTGATGATGTGTATCTGTGTGTGATTGTGTGATGATGTTCATCTTTGTGAATGAATTGTGTGATGCTGTGTATGTCCGAGTGTGATTGTTTGATTATGGGTGTATTGGTGTGTGTGGGTTATGTCTCCAACTGTGGTTGTTCGATTATGTGTGTATTTTTGCATGTGGCTGTTTTGATAAGGTGTGTCTGTGTGTGGTTGTGTGATGATGCGTGTCTTTATAGATTATGTAATAATTGATGTGTGTCTCTGTAGGCACTATCTCTGTATGTGGATTATGTGATCATGTTATCTCTGTGTATGGATTGTGTGATAATGTGTATCTCTCTCTCTGTGAATTGTGTGATAATGTGTATCTTTATCGGAATTGTGTGCTAATGTGTATCTGTTAGGGTGGATTGTGTGGTAATATGTATCTCTTTGAGTGAATCGTGGGATAACGTATATTTGTGTGTGTGTGAATTGTGTGGTAATATGCATTATCTCTATGTGTGCTTTCAGGCAGCAGGCCCTTTTCCATGTGTTGGCTGCTTACTCCGTGTACAACACGGAGATTGGTTACTGCCAGGGCATGAGTGAGATTGCTGCCCTTCTTCTTATGTACCTCAATGAAGAGGTAAGTCACATGTCTGGGCATAAGTGAGATTGCTGCCCTTCTTCTCATGTACCTCAATGAAGAGGTAAGTCACATGTCTGGGCATCAGTGAGTTTGCTGTCGTCCATGTACCTCAGTAGAAAGGTAAATCACATGTCCAGGCATAGGTGAGATAGTTTTGCTGTTTTAGTCTACACTTCTTGGTCTGGTCTGTATTTTTTTTTTTTTTTTTTTGGTGGTCTAGTCTAAACAACTTTGTCTATACACAGTTTTATCTGTTACAGAATTGCTGGTTTAGTCCACTTTTCCTGGTCCAGTCTACATGTTCTTGTCTGGTTGAAGCAACTTGGTCTATGCAGTTTTGTCTAGTCCACACCTCCTGCGCAGTCTGCATGTTCTTGTCTAGTTGAAGCAACTTGGTCTATGCAGTTTTGTCTAGTCCACACCTCCTGCGCAGTCTGCATGTTCTTGTCTAGTTGAAGCAACTTGGTCTATGCAGTTTTGTCTAGTCCACACTTCCTGGTCCAGTCTGCACTTATTATCATAGTGTTTACATTCTGACAAAAAGGTACCAACAGATGGCTGTAAATGTTTGTGTACATTAGCTTTTGCCGATCTAGGGGCTTTCAAAGAGTGGTACTAGTTGCATGGTGGAAGAGATTGGGATGTAATGTGAACACACATATCCACAAAAGCCAACCTCCAGTGTGGCAGCAGCAGAACATAAAAAAACATTTATTGATGTTTCACTAAGGAACTAGACACATCCTGAGAAGCAAGCAGAGAATCACCAGACAAGCACTGGAATGGGAAATAAAGGGATTGAGGAAGCAAGGACATCCAAAAGAAACCCTATAATAGAACATTACTGAGGGAGGGCCAAGTGCTGGACAAGATTACATCCCTGATATTGAATTGATTTAACAGGATAGAACAGAATGGAGGAATAGACTATATACTGGCTCTGCAGGGCAGTGACGATGATGAAATAACTGGAGGTCTCTGTGGCCAAGCCATTTGCCTTGCATTCTGAAAGGTCATAGGTTCATTTCACGGAAGTGTCTGTCGTTCAGTTCACGAGTGCAGTTTTTACGGTAATCCCAGGAGATCATTACCAGAGCTGCGGAGTTCAGGCTTTGTGTGATGCTCTGGACAGGCGGCTGGCCATTCTGGGGAGAGAGACTGAGCCATATGGGATCAAACCCAGTGCAATGAAGTCGACACTCTGTGAAATATCTGTATCACAGTAACTTGAGTTTGTGATTTGTTGTGATGTTCTCTTTGCAGGATGCATTCTGGGGGCTTTCTCAGCTCTTTATCAGTCCTAAACATATGATGCATGGTAAGTTGTCTTAATTAAATGATCACTATATGTCCATGCTTCATATAATATATGCTGTCTTTCACATGGTCACCATATGTCTATGCTTCATATAATGTATGCTGTCTTTCACATGGTCACTATAAATCCATGCTTCATATAATATATGCTGTCTTTCATATGATCACCATATGTCTATGCTTCATATAATATATGCTGTCTTTCATATGATCACCATATGTCTATGCTTCATATAATATATGCTGTCTTTCATATGATCACCATATGTCAATACTTCATATAATATATGCTGTCTTTCACATGGTCACCATATGTCCATGCTTCATATAATATATGCTGTCTTTCACATGGTCACCATATGTCCAAGCTTCATATAATATATGCTGTCTTTCACATGGTCACCATATGTCCATGCTTCATATAATTTATGCTGTCTTTCACATGGTCACCATATGTCTATGCTTCATATAATATATGCTGTCTTTCACATGGTCACCATATGTCCATGCTTTATATAATATATGCTGTCTTTCACATGGTCACCATATGTCCATGCTTTATATAATATATGCTGTCTTTCATTTGGTCACCATATGTCCATGCAACCATGGCTACTTGTAGCCAGTACAAGTAACACTTGCAAAGCAGTAACAGGGGAGCTATGCACAAATGAAGCAGGCAGGCATAGATCTGCCCAAAAACAAAAACAAAAAACAAAAAACAGTAAAAATCTAAACTAATACTAGGTTGCACAAGCACTTATAGTAGTAGGGGGTACTTGAAGACTTTATTTCATACAACCACATATAAATATATGCTATACTTGTAGACCTTCTGCCACACAAGCACATATGAGTGTATGTTATACTTAAAGACTTTCTGTCACACAGCCACATATAAATGTATGCTGTAATTGTAGACTTTCAATCACACAGCCACATATACGTATGCTGTAATTGTAGACCTTCTGTCACACAACCAGTGTTTGATATACTTGTAGACTTTCTGTCACTCAGCCAGGTATAAGTGTATGCTGTAATTATAGACTTTCTGTCACACAGCCACATTTAAATGTATGCTGTAATTGTAGACCTTCTGTCACACAACCACATATAAGTGTTTGATATACTTGTAGACTTTCTGTCACACAGCCACATTTAAGTGTATGCTGTAATTGTAGACCATCTGTCGCACAGCCACAAATTGGTATTGTACTTGTAGATGGGCACTCATAGAAAGATGTAGAAACATAGTAGGACACACCAGACAAAATTGAAATTGAAAGCTTTAGTTACCGTGTCCTGGAAATTGAACCTGTCACCTCCAAATTGCGTGTGCACCTCACTATGGAAACAAGTATACTAAGAACATGACCAACCAGGCACCCTCATCTTGGTTGCACACTCCCTCAGACTGCTGTCCTCCCACTTGTATCGCTCTGTACACTCACTTGCCTTTTACTTCTCCCTTCAGTATTATATTTCACTTATCTCTTTTTTTTTAAAAAATTACAGCATCTGTCTTTTCATTCCCAGTAAGACTAGAATCTTTATATTTGATTATTTTTGTTTCCATGAAATACGACTTCTTCTGTTGTGTATCTATATCTCTATAAACTCTGATTTTCTAGTTACCACATATAAATATATGCTCTGCGTTATGTGACATATGTCATTCATTATTTATCATGGCTGTTATTTTATACCTTGACAGGTTTCTTCATGCACGGCTTTCCAAAGCTGATGAGGTTCCAGGATCACCATGACAACGTGCTGCGCAAGTTTCTGCCAAAAGTCCGCAGACATCTGGTATGTAATTACTGATTGGTGTATCACTTGTGGGTGAAAGGTCATGTGTGTGAGGTTCAGGGTCATCTTCTCATAACTTCTATATAAAGTCTTTGCTGTATTTCTTCTTTCTTTCATTACACCTTTTCTGTTTAAATATTTCAAGGTTGCTCTTATTTGTTCTAAAATATATCTTTTCTTTTATAAAGTTTCTTGGTGTCTGTTATTTTTTTTCTAAAATTTACTTTTTCTTTATAACATTTATTGGTGTCATTTTATTGTTCTAAAATATATCTTTTCCGTTATAAAGTTTCTTGGGGTCTATTATTTATACTAAAATATATATGTTAGGTTATAACTTTCCTCGATGTATGTTATTTCTTCTAAAATATATCTTTAACTGTTATAACATTTCTGTATGTCTTGTTATTTGTTATAACGTTTCTCTGTGTGTTATTTATACTGAAATATATATTTTCAGTTATGACTGTTCTCTGTGTCTGTTATTTGTTGTAGAATATGTCTTTTCTGTTATAACATTTCTCAATGTGTCTGTTATTTGTTGTAGAATATGTCTTTTCTGTTATAACATTTCTCAATGTGTCTGTTATTTGTTGTAGAATATGTCTTTTCTGTTATAACATTTCTCAATGTGTCTGTTATTTGTTGTAGAATATGTCTTTTCTGTTATAACATTTCTCAATGTGTCTGTTATTTGTTGTAGAATATGTCTTTTCTGTTATAACATTTCTCAATGTGTCTGTTATTTGTTGTAGAATATGTCTTTTCTGCTATAACATTTCTCAATGTCTGTTATTTGTTGTAGAATATGTCTTTTCTGTTATAACATTTCTCAATGTGTCTGTTATTTGTTGTAGAATATGACTTTTCTGTTATAACATTTCTCAATGTCTGTTATTTGTTGTAGAATATGTCTTTTCTGTTATAACATTTCTCAATGTCTGTTATTTGTTGTAGAATATGTCTTTTCTGTTATAACATTTCTCAATGTGTCTGTTATTTGTTGTAGAATATGTCTTTTCTGTTATAACATTTCTCAATGTCTGTTATTTGTTGTAGAAAATGTCTTTTCTGTTATAACATTTCTCAATGTCTGTTATTTGTTGTAGAATATGTCTTTTCTGTTATAACATTTCTCATTGTCTGTTATTTGTTGTAGAATATGTCTTTTCTGTTATAACATTTCTCATTGTCTGTTATTTGTTGTAGAATATGTCTTTTCTGTTATAACATTTCTCATTGTCTGTTATTTGTTGTAACATTCATCGGTGTCTGTTATTTATACTAAAATATATTTTCGCTTATAAATTTTCTCAGTGTCTGTTATTTGATCTAGAATATACCTTTTCTGTTATAAAATTTCTTAGGGTCTGTTATTTATACTAAAATATATATTTTCTTGGTGTCTGTTATTTGATCTCAAATATATCTTTTCTGTTAAAAAACGTTTCTCTTCTGTTATTTGCTTTAAAATAGACCTTTCTATTATAACATTTATTAGTGTGTTGTTTGTTCTAAAATATACCAGTTTCTTTTATTTTATTTTCTTGATGTCTTGTTGTTTGTTCTGAAATAAACCTTTTCTGTTATAACATTTCTTGGTTGTCCTAAACTTTACCCTTTCTCTATTAACATATTTTTGTGTCTTTTATTTGTTCTAAAATATATTTTTCTTTTATAAAATGACTTCATCTCTTTACGTCCTAAAACATCGTCACTGGGGCTATGGAGCCTGTGCTTTATGCGACGTCGGCAGGTGGCTATATTTTCTAAGGATAGAGACCGAGCCATATGGGTTAAAACCCGGTGCTATGAATTGATCCTCTCGACTTTACTTCCTAAATACACACTGTAAAGGATATGCCACTAACTTTTCAAAATCTACCATGAACTAGGGCGCCAGTTTTCATATTTAACACTTTCATTGCGGACATGCTTTGAAAAGAAAAAACTATGGTAACAGCCAGTGGGAATTGATGCCCCTCATACTTAAAAAAAAAAAAAAAAAAAATTGACACCGGTCGATTAGAAAATGTTGAAAAACTTTTTTTTTTTTTTTTGAAATTTTTAATGGAGTGATCAATAAAAGGAATAGGGTTAATCATTGAGTTGAATACATCCAGCAGGGTTTAAAAAAAAAAATATTGGGTAACTCGTACCTTGATCTTGTCAGAATTCTAACACAAAAGCTACAGGCAAAAAAAGTATGCCATCAGAGTGGCTTCACAAAAGCCATTTTGTTTACAAGACACCCCATGCTACACCCCCCCCCAACTGTATTTTTAGTAAATAGCTTTCCAGTTTAAATAAGGCACTAGAACAGAAAAAACTACATGTGAAGTGCCCTGTTTTGGCAAGGTCACTAACAACACGAGACGAGACATGGTTACAAATACCAGCATTAGAGAGAAAGTTTAAATAAGACCATGTGTGGATTATATTGACAGAGGATGAAATGGTTTGGCCATCTAGTGAGAATGCAGCCAGATCAGACTGCATATGAGACATTTTACAGTAGAACATCTGGGAGAAAGGCAAGACGAAGACCAAGAAAGAGATGGATAAATGGTGTAGAGGAAACCTGCAAAAAGTTGAACAAATCCCTCACTCAAGCCACCCGAAGAGTGCAAGACAAATACAGAAAACCACAACACTGGTTACAACCTGGTAACAGTGAGACGACAAGAGAAAGACGAAAGCTTTCTATTGGGGCCTCCTAAACACTGCACAGATAAAAGCAGAACCCAACACCGTTAACTAGGCTTCTCGGGGACAAGTTGCTACAGCCCTGCCAGTTAAGTGGAATTTATGGGGATGAGTCACAAAAGGCTGCGTAAAGCATGTCCTGACATACGGGTGTGAGTCGTGGGCAATGACAGTAGCTCACGGAAGCCAGCTTCAGGCTTCAGAAATGAGTTGTCTGAAAAAGCTGGTCCAAATGAGAAGAAGGGACGAAGTTCTTATCCAGACAGTGAGTCATGATCTCAATACCCAGGCCTTACAAACTGGAGTGGATCAGTTACAGTTACGATGGTTTGGACATGTATGCAGAATGGGAGAGAACTTTCCACCACGGCAGACATGGGAGGCCAAGAACCAGGGAACCAGACTACCAGGACCACACAGGGTTCGCTGGGAAGACAAAATATGACAGTTCCCTGACTGACAGAGGACTCGAAGGGAACAAAGCTAAAAAGAAAACTCTAGATAGGGACGTCTGGCAATCTCTCAGGCAAACCTTTACACCCCAAGGTAGAAGAGGGTCGACGAAGTCAATAAAGAAAAGAGTCACAAACGGGTTCACTGCTTCTCAGGGCCACATATTGGTAAAAGACCCTTTCCCACACCTTGAGGCATATAGGGCTAGACCTGTATTTTATACCGGGGCTTGGTGGAAGATGTGGTGAGCATCACTCCAACTGTCTTTACTTCCCAAGACTTTACCTGGTGCCCTTTCAAGGCTGGGTCAAACTGGTAGCCAAGGTCATTATTGAAAAATGTCCGGCTCCGTCAGGGCCTGAACCTATGACCTTTGGATCCACAGGCGAGTGTTTAGCTGCTACACTCTGGTGGCTCCTGTTAACCATAGTAAGAGATTGAACAACTTGACTGATGCTTACCTCTTTAGTATGATTGTGTATGACTGGGTAGTCACAGTTAAGCTGATTGTGTTTGCTTTCATTCAGGAGAAGAATGAGATGCATCCATCTCTGTACACCATCAAGTGGTTCCTTCAGTGTTTCCTTGACAGGGTGAGTATAACATAGGCTGTGTGTACACTTGATAGGGTTGGTGTAGCACAGGTTGTGTGTACACTAGATAGGGTTTGTGAAGCACATGCCGTGTTTACACATGATAGGATGAGTACAGGATATCTATTTACAATGATAGCGTGAGTATATCACGTATAGTTTACAGGTGATAGAATGGATATAGCATATTATATGTTTACACATGATAGATTGGAAAAAGCAAATGTGTTTGCAAATGTTCGGATGAATATAGCACATGTGTTTACACATGATAAGATGAGTACAGCACACATTATGAGGTATGTATGGGGGCATGGGGTATGTCTGTGCAATAGGCAATGCAAGCTAGCAGTTTTAGGGTTATCTAGCTCTTCTTTGTAAAAGGACAAATTGAACATTAGTAGCCTGTCGGCAACCTGTAGGGCACCAAAGTCAGCCACGCATCCAAGCAGAACTCACAGGGAAACTAAAGCCACAAGGTCTCACGTTAATGGGGCAGTGGCTCGTCAGGTGAAATAGAATCAATCTGGTTAAATACTCTTTAAACTGCAACTGGCCCAGCAAGCCGGCAGTAGATTGAAATTAAATGTTGCTCAAAGAAACACTAAGAAGGGAAATGGGACTAATACTTACTAATAGACTCGGAGATGGAAACGTGATTAAAATGTGCACTAATAAATGTGACAAGACTACCACTAGATAGTGTACCACAGAGAGCTCTGTCAGTGGGATAAATGGAGGTAGAGCTAGAGACCAACGACACCAGCGATGGATAGATGGAATATCCGAGGCCGTAAATACTCACACCTTTGTAGAACATTCCAAGGTGTGCACCCGATGCCTCTTCAAAAGCTGACGCTGATAGGCAGAACAGGGCTAGAGAAGAGAAAAAAAGAAGTATTTACGCATGATAAAATGAGCAAAGCACATTTCTCATCGCATATATCTGGCTGCTGACAAATATCTGACTGCTGACATATATCTGACTGATGATAATTATCTGACTGATATCGTATAGCTGACTGTATATCTGACTGACCATGAGTATCTGTAAAGTGATTAGTGAAGATTATCATCACAGCCCTCTGGACAGATCTCTAGGTGCTCCGATCTCCCCCTCAAAAAGTGTGAAGGCTAATATTTCAGTATCTTTATGATAACATAAATCTGACTGATGATATCGGTTTTAGGTTTAGACAACTGATCAACATCTTGGCACAAGGGTAGTAACCCATAAGTGCTCCGTTT